CTCGCTGGTTACTTCAGCTGTTGGCAGGAATACCTCGAGTCATCCATTAGAGACCACGCTGGATCGTATTTGTACATTTGTATTTTTTACATAGGGGAGGAAAAAAGAGACAGCTGGCATTTATGTGACCACCCCGGGTAAGTAGGAAAATTCATAGAGGCTCGTAATTTACTGTAGATTTTCCTTTTTTAGATCAACCGTAGTACTTGTTGTTTTCCAGATACTAAAAGTGATACACCGGGCATCTGAGTATATTGCATTTTACCATATTAACTTTCTCTATTTTAATATTTTAATTTTAATAAAGACATAAGTGCTTTCAGATCTGCTACACTTGCTAGATTGTCTTCTCAAAGCTCAGTGACAAAAGTATATATTTAAAGAAATATATATATATAAATATCTTAATAAATGATATTTATGTGAGTCATATGCAAATATTAAGGTTATTTTCTATTTATGCTGTTTTAATACTGCATTTAAACAGCTTTTCAGCATCTAATAAAGCTTCACTTTATGTGACAAAGACGAAGAAGACAAAGAATTGGAGATTAAAAAATGTGACAAATGAACTAAATTCGTCACTAAAAGTCCAAAACGTGGCATAGAAAAAAGCGTAGACAGTCACACCATCCACTCAGACAACAGATTGTTTCATTATTGACAGGCGTTAAACTCTGTCTGACAAATGCTTAACAGTTGTTAAGAAACTACAAACAAGATTAGTTCAGGACCAGGACATCACCTCATCAAAAAGTTAAACTGGTATCAAGCCCTCTTTGCAAGAAGATTTGCCTCATAGGACCAGCCTCTTACCAGCTGTTGCATGTTGATCACATCTACTGGTCACACACTCACACTTATTACATTAATGGAGTTGCTAATCCCACGATAAGCCTTTTTAACTGTTCTCCCAGGCAGATCAATCAAACGCTGAACACTGAAACGTATTTTTAACGGAACAAGTCAAAATGTTCAATCTTATTACACAGTCACTACTCTTTGTTTAAGTAGATAAAGCAGCTTTATAACTCACCTCCACGACAGGTATTTTTAGCTATATATTATTATTACTTATCACTTGTCTTTAAAGCCTTATTGTTGTTGTTTTTATTACTGATCTCCAGCTGATCTCAGGAGTTTTCCAACTTGCATTTTAATAAGAAATCTTTGAGTCTTACAAGTGCAGCAAAGCATGTTTGACAGCAGCCTGTATTTAACGGTAACTGTTCTATCTGTTGTTCCTGTCTTTAATGAAGAACCAATTAACAATTAGAGAGCTTTCCATAAATAAACAACAATCAAGGTCAAGGTTGTCTGTTAAAAACATTCAGTCACAGAGAGGCAGACATCCAGAAGACTTTTACAGAGAAAGAGGAAAATGGTTATGAGGAAAGTTTATTAATAACACAGTAGATCGTTTTCTTTTAGCACAGCAACAAAGCTTTCTCGTATTTCCCCATGAACTCTTTACTCATGCTGGTCTTACACTAGCCAACTTCTGTCTATAAACACACACATGTAGATGCTACAGTATATGAGGATTATTGTATGTAATGAGTTCCCTTTTTTGTACAAACTTTGTGAGTCCTGCACATGGGCATAGAAAAGTGGTTCTCTACTCCCACCACCACGTTTCAGATTAAAATGTAATAACTTTGGACATCTGTTAGTTTACCACCGTACCACCCTGAGCTTGTCTGGTTTCAGGAGCTAAGCGGGGTCGGGCCTGGTTAGTACTTGGATGGGAGACGTCTGTTACACATATTTATGTCTTGTGTGTCAGATGTAGATTATTATTTCTTACCTATTTGATTAAATATAAAATTAAGTGTGAAATTTGGTACACGGTGTGGTAGTTCTTCAAGAAGGGGGATCGGAGAAAGTCTACCAGCTTTAGGGGATCATGCTTCTCAGCCTCCCTGGGACTATGTCAGGGTACTGGAGACGAGTATCCACCTGGTACTCAAACCTCAGATTCTGGAGAAGCAGTTTTTGTCTCGGTCACAGAAACTGAGACCAGCTCTTCATCCTGTCAAGGATATTTAATGCAACGCTCCCTCTAATGTTTCACGTGTCTGAGCGAACACACAAACTCCCTGAGCGTCCCTTGGACCACTGTGAGCAACAGCAGACGTGTGCACTGTGGTCACGCCAGCATCCAATCCATCCAAGTTACATGTTTATTAAAGTAATCAAATTACAGCATTTATGTTAGACTACTTTTAATTAACTGCTTTAGCCCACTTACAATGAAAATTTAAAAAATCGTGTTCCTGTCCTGTGCAGCATGTTAACACTATTGGAAGGAAAAATAACTTCAACTCCAATTTTGAAAACACAACTTTCTTTCTTTTATTTATTTAAAGCTCTGACTGTATTATGAGTCTGTGGTCTGGGAGAGAGTCTGTAACTCTGTCTGCAAATACAGTAAATAATGACCAATGTTGGGCAATTAATTATATAGTTACTTCTTCAAAAAAGTAACTGAGTTATGCAAACAACAAAGTGTTTTGCAGCTGTTTACCTAAAAATGCAGCCAAGGCGTTTTTTAACAAACATTTCAAACTATTTACAGAACAATCAGCTGTTCTGCATCAAATCTGATGCCACACAAATTATTTGTGCCGCTCCAAAAATAATTTGTGTCCACTATGAGATGAAGGAGAACAACAGCCTGATACCTGCAGGCCTGACAGCAGCAGATGTGTCACTGCTGTAACACCTGTCAACACTCAGCAGGCGCCTCATTGTTCTGACACACAACAAAACTACTGACTACACTACACACTAACTACACACTAACTACACACTAACTACACACTAACTACACACTAACTACACACTAACTACACACTAACTACACACTAACTACACACTAACTACACACTAACTACACACTAACTACACACTAACTACACACTAACTACACACTAACTACACACTAACTACACACTAACTACACACTAACTATACACTAACTACACACTAACTACACACTAACTACACACTCACTACACACTAACTACACACTAACTACACACTAACTACACACTAACTACACACTAACTACACACTAACTACACACTAACTACACACTAACTACACACTAACTACACACTAACTACACACTAACTACACACTAACTACACACTAACTACACAAGATTTGTGCTAAACGTCTCAAATCTCTCACATCTCAAACACGCCGTCACTCCTAAAACTTCCCCCGTCCTAAACAACTAAAGGCCATGTTGCCATATCATTCTTTGATTGGTCCACATGGTACATTTGTCCACCAATAGGAAAGGCTGGGAGTTTTGGTGTTTTTGCTCACAGGCTTTCGAGCGTTTTCCTTATAAAACGCAGTTTTTACCGTTTCTTCCTGCAGTAAATATAAACAACGACAGTGTTCAGGAAGAAAAACAAACATTGCAGATATTTTATCATAACTCTGGTTTTACGTGGCCGATCAACACAATTTAAAAACTGGTATAAAGTCCACACTTTGTCCGTCAGTTGTTCCGTCTGTCCTGCTCACATCTCCAATGGTTGTACACGTTGTCATTAACGTGGCTTCACTCCACATCAGCCGCTTTGCTAAAACACCGGCACATAAGGACGCTGTCATAGCCTGTCAGCGACGTTGATTAGCTGCGTATATACGAATGTGAATCGCATCATTGGCTGGACTTTGGGATAAGGTGGCATCGTTCTGATCCCATACGGGAGCAGCCAGTCACTGACTCACACTGCAAACAGAATTGTTAAAGTTTTAATTTTAATTTTAATTCAGGTTAGATTTTTTTTTTTTGTGCGCAACGCAGATTTGCACAACATTGGATGGGAGTAGTAGTAGTACTAGTACCATTCAACCACATCCCTTAAGTTATTGTGCAGGGCGGGTGCTTTGGGAATATGGGATATCATGCTCGTTGTTGCAAGCTATTTGTCCCTGCAACACCAGAGCTGGTCTGCATTGGTCTGACTGGTTCTTGGTAGGTGTTGGACTCTCCCAGGGCTGCTCGTTGACACCAGTGCTCTGCATCGTTTTTATGAACAGAATTGTAAGCACAGTCATGGGGCACATAGTGTCTGGTTCAGTTTTAGCTCTGGCAGATGACGTGGTTTTGTTGTTTCATGGAGTAATGACTGCCAGCTTGTACTGGAGTGGTTTGTGGCTGGATTGAGCTGTGCTCACCCACAGAGACAGGGTGTAGAGTCCAGACATTTGGGGTAGAGCCCGTGCTCTTCTGTGTCGACAGGAGGCAGTTGGGATGGGATGATGACCAGGGGCACCCCCTCTGTGGGGCGGTCCAGTAATGTCCCACCAGGCGGAGACCTCGGGGTAGACCCAGGATACGCTGGAGAGATGACATCTTTTGGTTGACTTGGATGGATATGCAACATACCAAAACAGACCTTTAAACAGATTGTAATAGGTGATTGTGGCACTGTTACTATTTTCAGGTGGTCTACTTTTTTTGGTCAGTCTTAACTAGAGACATTGGTGATGCTAAATTAAAAGAAAAAAGAGTTTTTATTTTAAAAGCTCGTCCATGGCATCATGCAGAGTTTCAATGATTTGACATGAAATGATAATTTACTGTAATTCATAAATGGACTATAATATGTGGTCATCTGCCTCGAGATGCATATTAATGTCAGTGACTTCCATTCTTAATTCATATTTTCTAATGATGCTGACCCGCTGTTTGCCACTTTAACACCTGTGTGTGAAAAAATATTGTTTACCGTGCAAATTTGAAATACATTTAAATCTCAAGGCTGTCATTATTATTGACGAGGACGCCTCATTAGTATGACTGAGCATAACCTCTCTGGGATTAATAAGTGCCTTTACAGAAACGGACCACACAATGTTTCATTGTTTAAATCTATATATATAGATATATATAAATATATAGAGATATATATATAAATATATAGAGATATATATAAATATATAGAGATATATAAAACACTTTTAGACTCAACTAATTTTGCAAACAATTAGTTGAGTCTAAAAGTGACAAGAAAAACAAATAAATTGGAATTTTTGGTTTACAAATTTCCACACTAAATGTTTTTCAGCAATTTAAAATTCTTTGCGCAACAAGAGACAATAAATCTTAGTGCTATTTTGTACATTTACATGCATTCGCACAGTTTTTCATGGCGCAATCCCTGAATTTGATTTAGCTGCTGACCTAAACCAAAATGTTATTTTGGTTTTTGTGCAGGTATTCATTATTCTAAGTAAATCCCAAATAATTGCACTAATATGTGCCCTATCTTTCCATAAGCTGCACAGCAGGATCTAAATACACATTAGAGTCTTATTGGTGAAAAATCAGGGCCATGTGTTAAAACCCTTCTTAGAACCTTCTTAGTGTTGTAGTACTCACCGAGTGGCTTCAAGAATAAACTGACCTAAGGGAACTTGTTAGTCGGTTCTGTTAAAATACCCAGAGGATAAGCAATGGTCAAAATGTAAAGGCCAAGGTTATGAGGTTAGGAAAGGATCGCGGTTAAGATAATTCTTGTATCATATGCGACCCCTCCTCAGGCAGGTTTTTTAACCATTTGTGTTTTCGTGGACCAGCTTTTCTTTAGATTTGTGTGTGTGAGATGTTTCTTACAGTAGGTGCATCATGTAATGTCTTAATCTGTGACATCGCCACTGTCTGTGGTACATCACGGATTTGTGAAGTGTAAGATTAGAGCCCTATGTCGTCATAAATCTCTGCTTCCCAATTCGGCCGGGTGGTGGCGGGTGGGGCAGTTGCAAGGTGTTGTTTGTGGTCTGTGGATTTGTTGGATAAAGCGTTTGCTCCTAAGTACGGTCAACTCCATCAAGTCCTTTCAGATCAGGAGTTATTTTTTTCATTTCGTGGCTTGATGCCAGCTCAGGTTTTTCTTTTTTGAGAGCAGATAGTTCTCCGGGTAGACCCAGAAGTTTTTATGGTGCTCTGCTGAAGGTCTTCATCATGAACTATTGCATTCCGGACATGTACGAGATGCCTCACACTGGCGTCGGAAGCTATTCGGTGCAGGGAGGTGGGGAATATTGCATGTACTCGGACGAAGGGTCCGGGTATGGCAACTGTGAGCCTCAGCCCCTTCATCATCCACCCTGCATGGAGCAGGCTTGGTCCCCCAGCCAGCACTACTCGTGCTCCTACGCCGCGGGTCCTTCTGTTTTTAAGAGTGAGTTTTGCAGCATGGAGGTCCCTCTCAGTCACTTCCACCAGCCTGAGTACTTCCCCGAGATCAAACCTGAATTTTCACACCTGCGGTGGATGCAGAGTGCGCACAGAAAAGGTACGACATGCAGGCTGTGATTATTTAGCTCTTTAACAAAGTACCTGAGGGTCTGGAACTGCAGCTCGGACGTGTTCAGGTTGTTCAACTTGTTGAAGTTGCGAGTAACTTAAACAGTCTCCACTGTCTGTAATTAACTGGGTTTGTGTGTATGCAAGCATGTGTGTGTGTGTGTGTGTGTGTGTGTGTGTGTGTGTGTGTCTATAATATAACAGACTTGTAATACACTTGCTCAAACTGATGATTGGTCCTTCTTGATCATCGATCAATGATGTCTGGGATTTTCGAATTAAGTCCGATAAGCATAAATCCAAGACATAAGGCATCGTGCGCTGGTCTGTGATCAGGGCTTGTAGCTGTGTTTGATTGAGGTAGACGGGGTTCCTTATTGATTGCTGTTGAGGCAACAGAAGGCTGACAAAAGATATTGATCGGTTTGTTAACCTGCTGTCCTGGTGACAGAACTCACTCAACCCAATCTCAAATACAAGATAGACTCCACAATATTAGAGTCTACAAAGATTTTTCCATGAAGTGTGTTCGAAGCATCAGACTTTACCTGCCACTCCACACTCTGCTGTTAGCAAGTGTGACCACCTACAGAAAAGAACAGGTTTTGGCAGTTTGCTCATCTAGAGCATTCAGGTAACTACTAAAACAATTCCACAGGTTCCCAAGAGCCAAGGTCTCAACAAATTCACCCCATGGTCAAACTACGCAATATTCAGAAAATGCCAAAAATCCAAGACCAACATCTCAGACTCTACAGGCTTCAGTTAGCATGTTCATAGCAGTAGAATTAGAAAGAGACTGAACAACTATCGCTTGTTTGTAAGCGTTGCCAGAAGAAAGCCTCTAAAATAACATGACAGCATGGCTTAGACTTAGGAACAAACCTCAACACCACAAGAACTTTGCAAAGCAGCGATGTCAGGAGATAAAGCACCTTGTTTGGAGAAAACCAAACACAGCAGGGCAGTACAAATGCTGCATAGCAACTGTCAAGGACAGCAGTGGAGCAGTGATGATTTGGACTCGTTTAGCAGCCACAGATCCTGAATACGTTATAGTCTCTGAGCTGACCATGAACGTCTCTGTATACAAAAGTATTCCAGACTCAAGCTAAAGCTAAGGCCTTGGGGGGAGTGGTGCCTGATCAAAATCTAGACCTCAACTCAGTGTCAGAGCTGTGCATGAAAACTTCCCTGCAAATCTCAACAAAGTGAAGAAATATTATAAAGAAGATGGGCCAGCGACAGACTGCTGAGTCATGGGGGGTGTAGTTTTTAACAGGACTACAACGAGTCATGTTACATCATTCTGTAGTGTGTATTTTATGCAAATGCACACATTCATTCATATATGTGTGTGTGTGTGAGTGTGTATACAATTATCTTTTTACTACTCTGCAAAGAATAGTACATTGCCCCAATTTTAATTAAAATCTAATAAAAAATGAATGTGTTTGGACAAACATTGTGAATGGCAGTCGTCAAATTTACTTGACATTCGTTTGCCTTATTTTTAAAATTAAAACAAATCCAGTTGTCTCCTTCTTTTCTCTCTAGGGTACATACCAAGTTACCTGGACAAGGATGAGCTATGCGTAGTGTGTGGGGACAAAGCTACAGGCTACCACTATCGCTGTATTACCTGTGAAGGTTGCAAGGTAAACCATGTGACCACATGGCCTCAGCCTTCGCCGTCTCCCTGTTCTGATCACGTCGCCTTCTGTTTTCTAGGGATTCTTCAGGCGGACAATCCAGAAGAATCTCAATCCAACTTACGCCTGTAAGTACGAGGGCAAATGTGTTATTGACAAAGTGACCAGGAACCAGTGCCAGGAATGTCGCTTCAAGAAGTGCATTGCAGTGGGAATGGCAACAGACTGTAAGTGGCCTCAGTAACAGGATATTTGACTCTTGTCTTTATTTCTTTTATGTCACTTTTGCATTTCTGCTGTTCTTCAATTGGAAAAAAGAATTCTGACATTTATTTACAAAAACAATGCCATTTATAAAGAAAGTGCAGAACTAGTAACAAAATCAACAAAGAAAAGTTGGATTTAAAGAAAGTTCCTCAGGGTTTGTCATCACCTGAAATATATTTACTCCAAATAAAAGCAGTGATGATTTTTCACCACATGGAAAAACAAATAATGGTCTCCACGTTTTGTTTGATTGTGCCTTTCACATTTTTCATACAATGGAAAGTTTGTTTTCATGTGTGGGTCATTTGACTCTAAAGCCTCCTGCTACATTGTATCTGTATCATTTTCTGAACGTCCAAAACATAAAACGGTTCAAAACACAAGAACAATCATGAAGCATGAACAAGTGTCACCTCAGCGGGATGTCATGTTCTGTGTTGGAACAACTCTGCACCTCAGCGAGTCATCATTTTATGCCCCCCTACCCTCCCCCCTCCTCTCCCTCTTTCCTTTTCCTTCCCGTCTACTCTCTTGGCCTCCCTTGGCCCCCTGCTGACCCCCTTTATTTGCCCCAGTGGTGTTGGATGACAGCAAGCGGCTTGCCAAGCGGAAGCTAATCGAGGAGAACCGGGAGCGCCGTCGCAGGGAGGAACTGCAGAAGACGGCGTGGGACCGACTGGAGCCCACCCAAGAGGAGTGGGACCTCATCCGTATGGTGACCGAAGCCCATATGGCCACAAACGCCCAGGGCAACCACTGGAAGCAGAAGCGGAAATTCCTGGTGAGACATCGTCCTCCTCCTCCTTCCCTCCTCACCAAAGCCTTGATTGTATCGATTACTGTGCCCTGTTCAAACCACCAACCCCCCTGACCCCCACCTACCTCCCCCTCCCGCCCATCTCAGCCCGCTTCCAACCCGTCCCAGCCCCCTTCCGCTTCATGTCCCCGTCTCCTCCTCTTCCACCACCACCACCACCATTGTTCCACTGTTCCCTATGTTAATATGTCCATGTGTTTTTTTGTATCTCCTTGTAGAGTGGGGAGAATTAGCTGGACGATGGAGAAAAGTGTTTCCTCAACGCAGCAGCACTAATTTATATTGGAACATCTTACTCTTGTCTTATGTTTTGCCAAGCAGCAACTTTTAATTGCTAATACTAATGACTTGCTTTTTTTCGTGCTGTTTAATTTTCCTCTCTTTCTGTTTGTAGCTTTTGATTTCACACCTCACTCTGTTTTTGACTAATTTTGCTTTTTCTGTTAAGTTTGATTACTCTGTCCGGACTGAGAGTCTGTCAGCTGTTTGTTGGCGTTATACTGAGTTTCTATGGCACGATTAAAGGGAACGCTCATTAATCGCAGAATTATTTGATCGGCGGGGTTTGGCAAAAAAAAGAAGGCTTATTTTTCAGGATACTGGGGAAACGGGGGGAAAAGACTTTCCCTGCAGCATCATGAACACAGCCTAATCTGTCTGCAAACTTTCATGGCCGCATCTGTTGTTTTTCATGCAATTTGTTTCAAAAAGTGTTGAAAACGTGACAAAAGATTTGATTGAGGTCTCATACAAAGATCCAATGAAGAGCGTTCCCGAGGACCCGTTTGATCCGTGGTCCCGAGTCTTGCTGTGGAAACTCGTGTCCTATTTCTGTCTTTACCTGTTTTCTGTCTGCGCACTCTTTCATCTGTCTTCAGTTTTAACTTGTTTTATTTTAGTTGGCTTGACACGGGTTCTTCATTGAAACTTCACGATTCCTGTTGATTATCCAACAGGTCGAGGAAGCAATGCTTCTTAATGAAATAACATGTAATTTATTCTATACTTCTGACCAGAGTGCAGCGGGGGTGAAGGAAGCTAAGGTAAGACACACAGATACACGGTTCAGTTGAGCCTAACGACGGGTTTTCAGCCATTTACATGTAAAACGATGGATAAATAACAAATGATGCGATGAAACCAGCTGATGTCCACTCCTCGTTCTTTCAGCCTGAGGATATTGGTCAAGCGTCCACGGATAATGCACCTGAAGGAAGTAAAGTGGACATAGAAGCCTTCAGTCAGTTTACAAAAATTATCACCCCTGCCATAACCCGAGTGGTGGACTTTGCCAAAAAACTGCCTATGTTCTGTGAGGTAGGTTTGTTTGAGTGGAAACGGTGACTGTGAATGTGTCACTGAGTGGTTAAAGCTGTATATTCAGATTGAATATGAATCTTTCACAGTCTTTGACATAATGGAAGTTCCACCTGTCCCTAAATAAGCCGTTCTTCTCTTTAACCCAGCTGCCTTGTGAAGACCAGATCATCCTGTTGAAAGGCTGTTGCATGGAGATCATGTCGCTGCGGGCTGCTGTTCGCTACGATCCAGAAAGCGAGACCCTCACACTCAACGGCGAGATGGCAGTGACACGAGGTCAGCTCAAGAACGGAGGCTTGGGCGTCGTCTCAGACGCCATCTTTGACCTTGGCGTGTCGCTGTCCTCCTTTAACTTGGATGACTCTGAGGTGGCTCTTCTGCAAGCTGTTATCCTGCTTTCATCCGGTAATCGCCTAGAGTGCACACTTACCCGAGTACATAAGAGGTTATTAAAGGGTTTTCTTTCTCGCTCTTCTAGGTCTCGCTCTGTTTTAGCACAGCGGTGTTACTGCGTTCTTATTACACCGTTGGTAACGTCGGCTTACAGGGAACAGATTTTTAGGAAGTACAGCAGCGTGAATCTGCAGCTGCACAGCTTGTGTGAATACTTGGTTTTGACATGAAATCTATATCAAACCACAGTTTAATCAATTAATCACCGTAATCATTGTGAGGAGCTTTGGCCTGTTAGCTTGTTTCTGGCTCCACTGGCATTTCTCTGTAATACTCTCATTGAAGATCAATACTCGTGTGCTTTATGGTGCAGACCCATCTGTCCTGACACTTTACAGTATCCACTGACGGTTAGCTAACACTGCTATTGGGGCAACGAATCGCTTTGTGATAGAAAGTTAATTATTTGTGTTTATTGATCATCTTTAAATTTTACATTTTTTTTGTTTCGTACTATTTGTACCAAAAAAGAAAAATAATTGTGAGTACTGCAATAAATAATAACTGACACTGTAGTGTATCCACAGCTGCGCCTGTGTTTAACTCATTTTCAGTCAAAAATGACATAAGAGTCATTCAAGGCATGAACACAATGTATTTGTACTGGATCTTTATTTTGGACATGTTTAAATAGTATAACAACAACAACAGAGAAAAAACAGACAAACAAACAAAACAATAATAATTATAAATAACTTACATGTTCAAAAACGAGCAGGAAGCAGCATGAGCTCATTTAATCCAACCTCCTGTTCATGCCGTCTCCATCACAAGTTCTTCATTATAATTTCTTACATGTATTTTTTATAACCTCGGTGACACATATAAAGATATATATGTTTACAGATATATCTACTTATATAAACCACACACCTGATCAGAGCCCTACCTCCACCACATTTGTTCCAAATCATCCCAAATAATACAGGAATTGACAAATACAGCAACCAGGTGATTCTCCATAAAAAGCTTTTGACTGAAACTGTGCGCGGTGTGCAGCGTGTCCTTAAAAACAACGAGGACAAAAGAAGAAGAACAGTATTTGACAGTTGTGTTAAGGCTGCTTCCTCATGTACAGGGCTTCATCACAGAAGAAGAAGCCATGCCTAAGTAAGGGAAACAGGAGGAATAGGCTCAGATATGCCAAATACACAATAACTGGGTGGAAGGAGGTGAGGGAGCATCCACACAGCAGCCAGTGGTGCTGGAGATCCAGTTAAGTCAGATTTGGATCCAACTGGGATGATCTTCATATTCCAGTATGACAGTGATCCCAAACACATAATCAAATCAGTCATAGATAGACCCTTGTGAGTTGTAATTAAGCTATTGTAAGCCATCCTTCCTATTAGCAAAGGAAGACCAAAGGTTATCAGGGTTCTCTCAGCACTGTTCCTCAGGGACAAACGCTTTACAGCTCTGCAGGACGCTGCATAACAACACTGTTGGTGTGCTTGTGTCTTCAGATCGTCCAGGCCTAACTAGTGTGGAGCGAATCGAGCGTTGCCAAGAGGAGTTCCTGTTGGCCTTTGAACATTATATCAACTACCGCAAACACAAAGTGGCACATTTCTGGCCCAAGCTGCTAATGAAGGTGACAGACCTGCGGATGATCGGCACCTGCCACGCCAGCCGATTCCTCCACATGAAAGTGGAGTGTCCCACCGAGCTGTTCCCTCCTCTGTTTCTGGAGGTCTTCGAGGACTGACCAGTGGATTTCTGTGTGTGTGTGCGTGCGTGTGTGTGCGCCTGGGCACCCTGGTGGTCTCAGGGGTGGAACCAGCAGAAAGCCCGTCACAACGAACCTTCTAACAGCACTACTGAGTGTCACTTCATTCCACCTTAGAGTAGCTCTCTGGTCTATTTTTGGATGAAACCATTCCTGACAGTGCGGGTACATGTGAATAGCTTTTTGACTTTTCTGGTTTGTTCTGTTATTGTTGTCATGGATATAACATCTCACCTCAGATTTGACTCTAGGTTTTTTGTTTTCATTATTGCATCATGGTAATCTTATCAACACTTGTTTGTTCGTTAGAAGCCAAGCACATGTTGTATATTCCTTCCTTTATGTTGAAATACTCAGCTGCTCGCCTCATCCACGACACGAGACGCCGTCAGCAAACCCGCTCCACTTTACCGCATTAATATATCAACCTTCGTCCATCTGGTGAGTGTCCAGTCTGTCCGGTGCCTCGCCATCCTACTGTGACCGTTAAAAACGCGTACTCTAACGGACGGCAGCTCGCAGGTGTCTGCAAGTCTCTCGGCAGCCGCACATTACGAGGTTAAGTTGCAACGCTGCATTCCAGAGCTGTCGGAAAAACAAACGTCAGCTCGAGACACGCTCCGAGCGAGAAACCTGAGCAGGATTTTGCAATATTAAAGGGGACCTGTGTGTCTTTTCTCAGTTGATGTTGCAATGCTGATTGTTCCTATTAAACATGACCAAAGTTTCAAATCATTTACTAAATATATGTAAAAACAATCCCAGCACTTGGACTGCTATTAAATCGAGGTTTCCAAAGGTTTTTCTCGCACCTTCTGTGACACTCGTTTGCTGCAGGCGGTAGAGCTTGTCCTGAGCCAGGCTTCCCGAAGCCGTCCTATTGGAAGAAAGTGGCTCGTTAGGTAAGGCGAACCTTAACGAGGCAGAGCTAAACAGGATGCTTTTAGTCAAAGGATAAACCGATAGTCTGCATGACGCACAAATCTAAGGACACTAGTCTGTTGGAGTGTCTCTACTAGAGTAATGAGTCCCCTCAAACTTCACACGGTGGCAGTGCACACTGCAAACACAACTTCTCTCTGGCCCTTCACACACACACACACACACACACACACACACACACACACACACACGCACACACACACACGCTGGGCTTTCAGCTAACAGTAAGTCTACTTACTCAACCCTTAAAATGATATGTGGCATTTTGCAGGATATTGCATAAATACTGTTGCACTACAGCAGCATATATGGGCCAGCAAAATAGTCAAAGGTCAGCTCTCTGTTTATGAGCAGGAAGCATCTTTGTGTCTGGTTGAAAGCAAAGAGTGTTTATGAAATCAGAGTGTGGACACTAATAAACTGAGAGAGTGTCTCTCGCTTGTTGTTAATTGCCTTTGGACTTATTGTCAGACAGCATGATATGACCGGTGCTTTGATACTTTATAGACTAATGACTAATTAGCACAACCTCAAAGCATTTCATATGCAACTCTGACAGATTAACTGAAAATGCAGAGGTTCTGTGCGTTCAAACCTGTACAGTGCAAAAAATCTTGCTCGAGTTTCTGTTTGTCTTTATTTCGACAAGAAACAAAACGACGAAACAACAAAACCAAAACTGCGATGTAGACGTGAGCGACAGTGAATGGAATGCAGAAGCAGCATTAAAATGAGCCGCTCGTCGTGCCGGAGACTCGTCACACGGTGGCACTGAGGCCAGGATCGTCTGTGTGTCACAGTACTGCATGTTGTGCCAAAACCAGGTGAACAATGCCCTCACTGCATCCTCCCTCCACTTCCTTAGTTGAGTATAAATTGGCTCCCTGTCGGTCCACACACAGGCTGTCCTGTTTGCTGTGTTTCAGTCTGCGGTTGGAACTTCAACTATAAGACCAGCATTAGATTTCAGTGTTTCATCTCAGCCATGTTGCCTCAAAGTCAAATAATTAGTCAGCATTTTTTCTGTTTGTTTAGTGTCTCCGTGAGTGGACGTGGGCTTTCTATTAAAACAGTGAAGTCATGGTGCTATGGTGAGTTGGGGCTATGGCTGATTGAAGCGTATTGTTATTTACATGTGTGAATAAGAGCCCGGCACCCTCGCAGGATGGCATGCATATAGTACAGTAACACACATGCACATATACAGAATGTACAGTACATCTGTGCAGCTGTTGTGCAGCAACTGATCAGCCACAACAATAAGACTGGCACAGATGCTGGGTCCCACTCGGGTACTGGCAGTGGTTTTTGGAGTGGGCCTCTGTCTGCCTCGGTTGGAAGGTTGGTAAATGGGAGGGTTTACCAGCAGAGAAGACCAGTGTTCACCCGTAACTGGTTTTAGTGATGTGGCTGATTGGTGTATCGCTCACACAGATAACACATGGGTCCGACTCCACGACTGTGACCGACCTGTGGCATTCGGAGGCCAAGTAAACTGTATGCTTCGCCATCACCAAGGTACACTGACGAGGCTGGTGAGATTGTGAAAAGTAGAGCTCTTTGTTCTTTAGCCTCTGGTTTTGTTTTTTTTCTTGAAAAAGCCTCGGTATGGTATTGCCGTTTGCAATCTGACAGACCTCGGCTCTTTATATTTCGCTTTTTCGAGCTTCACACTACTCCTCAAAGCAGCTTGTATTTTATTTTGTTTCTTCTCATTTCTGTGAAGTGATGCCTTTTTATCAAAGCAATAGAATTGCTGCAGTGTTTGAATGACCCGGACCTCACACATATACACCTCGCAAACTGTACAGATTCAGATAAATGCACAGACAATCAGAGGGAGAGGCACCCGAGCTCAGGCTGGTCCCCGTCGACATGAAGGGCCGGGCCGGGCCCCGCTGAGACGGAGCCATTCAGAAACGTAACGGTTGGCCACGTTTACATGCACCCCTGCGTCTGCAGCCAACGAAAGACTTTGTTATGTGAAGAAGCCTTCGACGAAAGCTGTCAGAACGCGCATCCAACATCAACGAGCTAGACTCATTAACGTAACATCACCTGTTTTTCTAATGAAATGAATGTCTTCATGTCTCAGTAGCAGGGGCTGGCTGCACAAACACATCAGAAGTTGGCTGACTATCTAATGTTCAACCCAACAGTCCCAGGATCTCAGCTCAGGACCTCAATGTCCCTTTGGTGTGCTTCTGTTGGTTAGAACATGTAGATTGAACAAAGTCATGTAAAAAGCATCATTTTTATGCGGTAAACATGGTTTGTTGTTGCACGTTCCCGGTTCTTAGGCTCTCTTTCACGTCTTTTTTTAACTAAAGACTTTTAGTCTAGTCTCAGGAATTTGGCAGTGTAACTTTTCAGACATTCAGCTAAAGTAGCAGCAACTATTGTTTGCAGCCCGAAAAACAAAAAGCTGTGTTTGCTCTTGATTTGGCCTGCCAGTCCTCCACCAGGATAGTTGTTGGGCTGTAATTAGCCGCTACCTCATGAGCGGGGAATTTTGGCCTGGGAATCAAAACTGGAACTTTGTTACTGCTGTCAAATGTAATAACAGTTCCCGAGTTTGTGCAGATGATTCTGTTTTCCTGTGCAGGTAAAGAGACACTAAGAAAGCTGCACAGATTTTAACCACTGAAAGTCCAAAATTAGGTGATTAACAGCTTTATGTGTAATGTGTTTTTGTAGCGTGCAGTAGATTGAACAAAGGTTTCTTTAACAGGCTGATGACATTTCTGTGAAACCACACCCCCTCTCTGAAGCTGCCCGACAGCGCAGTCATTCTCTTTGTGGCTTCATGTTCAGGATGCTCATCATAAGCATAAAATGAGCCACTGTGTGATCAGGACAGTGACAGCCGTCAGTTTCTTTCACATCAGCCCGTGTTCCTCCTTACTTTCTAGTTTGTTGCATTTTTCAATTTGCTGACTTCAGCTACAACGAGGGGATTACTGAGACCACCTCCCTCATGCTAAACATACAGTTTGAATATTGCCCGATGGTTTATAGGTCAGTGTGGAGTAGCTTAACACAAAGAAGAAGAAGAGATGAAAGTCAGAGCGTTGCAGGCTTACTCGTTGGAGGCAAAACATAAAGGCAAGGGTGGCTCAAAACTTTTGCACAGTACTGTATCTAAAGCCTAGCCCTGTGATTGGATGGATGGAGCCAGCCTGTCTGTGCAGCCAGCCCCGTTGTCAGAGAATGAACTTGAAGGTAGAGACGTCTCACAGTTATCATAAAAGTCACATAGATACTGTAAAACTAATGCAGGTCACAGTTAAAGAACTGCTGAAAAACACAATAATCAATAATCATGAAGAAGAAACAGTGCGAAACAGTGACCTGGATAAAAACAATGAGGAGGGCATTATTTGGTTTCTGTAAAAAAATATATAAATAACCTGTCAGTAATACTTTCACTCATAAATGTAATAAAGTCGAGCAGTTCATAACAATAAACCTGTCAGTTTTATGGTTGAGGCAAATGATGGCCTTGATGTAGTGATATATCATCAAACCTGTAAAGTTATTTCAGTCTGTGGGCGCTCTAATATGAATCCTGAAAGTTTAGCTTAAAAAGCTGGAGAGCAGCCGGGCTCTTTGACAGCTCCTACCCACGTTCCTCTGGGTTCTCCCGATGACTTTGTTGGCATGTTGATCAGTTATCTGAGCGTTTTACTGAAAAAAGCACTGAAGAGGAAGTGAAACCAAAACAAGGAGTTAAAACTTGCAAAGATCTGCTACAGTCAAGTAGTTCACAGCAGGATGATGAATGCAGCTTTAATCCAAAATGATCGACATGTTTTTTTACACTTTGATACATAGTTTCACTTTTTGTTTTTTTTCCTTTTTTGCGGGACGGCTATAAATTGGGTATCTTGTATCCTGGCTGTGTTCACTGAGCACATACGCAGAGCTGTGGTGCACGTAAACGTCGTCATTGCTCACCGCTGGTTAGGAACATGTTCATTTTACCTGAGGAGGTGAATGTTGGCCGTGATATCTCCCGTGAGTTGTTGCTCGTAAGGTTTCTCAGTTACAACCAATAGCAAGAGTTGCGCCATAGAGAAGCTATTTTACAGTACAAAGGAAAAGGATGTATATTTTCAGACTGCAGATTTTTTTTACGGATGTTAGCATAATATGAACATATTGTTTTTGCATAGTGTTAAAAAGATACAGTGTTGCTCTCAAATGTATTTCCACGTCTGATGGAGACGTATTTAAAAAAACAAATGATTAAAAACAGTTAAATTAGCTGGATTCATGTCCAAAAGAAACCACACATGAGCACGTTTAGGGACAGCGTGGTCAGAAGGAGGCGGTCATCCACAGTCGACACAGATTTCTCTTCTCTCCTTGTGTGTTTGAGTGTCTTCTTGTTTAAGTCATCTGTTTAATGCAAACCGGGAATTCGACCAGGAGGTGCAGAGAGATGTGAAAGTGAATCTGTGGCAGAAAAAAAGGAAGAACAAAGAATATTGTGTTCCTCAAACGGCTGTTGGACATTTTCAGCTTGGAGGACTGATGATTTTGATTTTGCCTGATGGGGGATGATTGCAGAATTTGTGATTTGGGTCTTAAGAATAAAGATGGTTTTGAGAGAATTTGATTTGGTGTCTTCACTTATTCAGACTTTGTAGGTGCTCTGTATGGCTGTTTGAATGGTTCACTGTGCGCCCATTTTATGAAACACAGGTTAATGTGCAGTGCTGTGCAAAAGACTTGAGCCCACCTCGTTCTTTGTATTTTGCTTTAATTTTGCTCCGTGAATCGCTACCTTATCGTGGTGGAGGGGTTTGTGTGTCCCAGGGATCCCAGGGGCTATGTTGTCTGGGGGCTTTTGCCCCCTGGTAGGGTCTCCCATGGCAAATTGGTCCTGTGAGCGATTCAGAAGACCCTTATGAAGAGAACATCAAGGGAACGGTTTACTCTGCCCGGGATAGGGTTACCGGGGCCCCGCCCTGGAGCCAGGCCCGGGGAGGGTGCCCGAGGGCGAGCGTCTGGTGGCCGGGCACAGCCCGAAGAGGAGACATGGGCCCATTCTCCCGCAGGCCCACCACCC